CTTAGCATGTTTCAACCATGATGTGTGTGATAGCGGAAAGGACAAATGAACAGAGGGTAAAAAGACAAGATTAAGAAAAGAGTTGGGATTTAAAGAAAGTTTTATAAGAAACAAAGTATTCATGCATTTGTAGCCAGGAATAAGATTGGTTTTATCTTCCTAGGTGAAATTACAGGTATCTTCAGCAGTAATAAAGAAATGGGAATAGGTGTATAAACAGCAGATGTTGCACTGAAGCTGAAAACCAACCCATACGAATAGTAACAGAGTAGAAACTAAACCAAACAAAACCCCAAACCTAAAAGTTTTAGCTGGTTCTAGCCCTGTGGAATGAGTGTGAGTCATAAGGTTTGGCACAGTGCTGCCTTGTAAGATCATTTTCAGAAGCAGTGGAGAGGCCGAGTCATCTATTTTATCTGATGTCACCTCTTAACTGCAGCAGAGCTCCTTGCTGCTTTGTTAATTTTCAAGTAGCTGGATGGTACAAAAGTTGTATTTCTTAATAATTTCTTATCAGGAAAAACACTGTCCAATATCCATGGATATTATGGAGATGATAAGCTCTTCCCTCAGGGCCCATGTGCAAGCACTGTCAGTCGGAATGTGCTACAAGCAAAAGTAGAAGCACCCAACATGGAGTTTGTTGGGGCTGGGCTGGAGATTTTGTGTTCAGGGTAGTCCCACTTGGTAGCTGATCTATTGCCTGCCTCTACTGAGGAAACACAGAGAGAGAAGTTTGAGGTAGGGTTTTTTTTTTCTTTGGAATTATCGCCTAGTGCTTTGTAATAGAATACTAGATAACTGTATTATCTCCTCCTGGCATCCCTCCCTGGACAGATACTGAAATTTTGCCCTTGGTCAGGACGTTTGCTTTGATGGAGTATACCTTTTCGGTGCCCAGGATAGCGTACGTCAGCTAGTAATCTGTTTTTGGATAGAATGAAGGCAATCATGCAGACCCTTACTTTCCCATTGATGATGATAAGATTTAAATTAGCAATGAGAAAGATGGCTTTTGGCAGCTGGTTCTTCCCCATTAGTTTCATCACGGTTATGTCTGTCGTTCACGCTCGCCCACTGTTGCATACAGCATGTCGCGTGCACCACGGCTGCTGGTTATGAAGTGCCTGATGAACTTGGGTCAGAAGCTTCCTGGGGAGCTGAAACCTGTGGTGACAGGGTCTGGCTTTGGCCTGCCTCACCCTATACGTTTGCTTATTCTGATGCAAACAAATGCGATTTCAAGACACGTCCCTGCCATGACTCTTGATGTGGTGGGGGTTTTGACTCGCAGGAAACTGGAAAAATAGTGTTTCTGCTCATTCAGTGCTCTTGTTTTCTCTAAGGTAGTCTTGTGGTAAAATACAAAGCAGATAGAGCAGATTAGAGAAGCAGCGATGTGGGCAAGAAACAGCTTTGAAACGTTTTGATACTCTGGGTGGGAAAAGCAGACTTTTACTTAAAATGGTGTTCATCATGATGATGTTTTGTGCTCGAGTTTTTCCCTTTTGGTCCTGTTAACTTCATATAGGAAAGATCCCAGGAGAGTATCAGTGCCAATACTGGCAAGTTTTTAGAGGCTTTCTTAAACCTCTTATTTCACAGAAATCTATGAAGTTTCTGGCTGGTCTGTCCTTTTCTAGCCTAAGCCTGTCCTAAGAAATCCAGCAATTTTCCACTTGAAAATAGCTATGGGTAAAGTCACACACTACTTTCACATAAGATTAAAGGTTTGACAAGGGTAGTGGGAACAAAGAAATTCCAAATTAAGTCTGCTCCGTATTTAAACCTCCCTCTCCCAGCCCCCTGTTGCACAATAGCAAGCTTTCCTAATGCAAGTAGGTTGTTGATATACTTCCAAAAAGAATTCCAGTTAGCTGAGAGATGGGATTAAATGGATTAAATAGCCTCCTCATTTTTCAGTGAAAAAAAAGTAGTTTGGGTGAAGGCACGTACAAATGCGGACTTAAATGATTTTGGTCTAGATTGGCCTTCCGAACAACCTCAGATTGCCTCACAAATTAGTGTGCCCTTTCTTGGCAAGGCTGAGCGATTTGGTGGTGGGTGTGCGTGTGCGCCGACACGCGTGTGCGGGGCGGTGGGCACGTGGAGTTCGCACTGTAGCCGCAGCCATTTCAGCAGACTATGATCATGGGCTGGGAGGTACGCTGTCATTTGGGTAGAAAAGCTGCAAAGAATATAAAACAGTGCAGAGTGCTCTATGGCCAGTCTGTCTACATTTAGTGCAAAACTGGTGTGCCCTACTCAGCCAGACCCAAGCTCTTGGAGAGCCCGAGAACCTCCAGTCCACCAGCCTGCTCCTACACTAGCATTTTTGCTGGCCTCTTCTATTTTGCTGCTGTGTTATCTGGTCACTAGGTGCTGTTACCTTTTCTTCCTCAGCACAGGCACTTGACGTGGTATGAAAACCAACATCCTTGTAGGTCTTCTCGTGGACTTTTCCTAAGAATTTATGAGGCATCAGCTTTGTACAAAGTTACATACAGATTTTCTGTAACTTAGTCTTCCTTTTAATGAAAGCTGATTTCTCCTCAACCCTGCCTATCATGTCTTGCTTTCGTTTTCTGACCCCTGAAGACAGGAAATAGCAATATGAAGCTCTATGCCAAGGTCTGTCAGCAGCTGATAATTTGATGTGTGGCAGATAATTACCACAGTAATGATTTGTATGTGGACAGCATGGCTCCATAGGAAACCTATCTTTATCTTGGTTGTTCGTTCGTAATTCTTTGTCCTGTGAAACTTCGTGGCCACTTGTTCAAGTGGCAGCAATGTTGCTGCATCATGTGTTATTATTAATTTTTCACCTATTTCCAGAAGACTCATTCTGTTGCTGAAAAGGCATAGATACTAACATATACTTAGTGTAGCATTGATAATGAAGGAAAAAAAAAAAAAGGGTGGTGGGAGGGATTGGGGTGGGCAAGGTTAATGGTGGGTAGAAGATGAAAATTGTCAGGAATCCCTAAAAGTCTTTTTTTGGTGTTTTTCTAAGGTCTACTAATTTGCCTTAACCTATTGCTGTTACAAAGAGTCACATTTAAGAGGCTGAAGACTAATGCATCCCAGGTCTCACTTATGCATCCAGTCTAACTGGTCTTAGGTATAAGCAGTGGAGTAATTTTGTATTGCGTGCGTGTTTTCCCTTTAAAAGCAGACTTCTTGCTTTCTTTGATTTCTATATTAATTTGCAAAGCATGCGCCAAGAGTAAAATTTGATTCACATTTGTTTCAAATTCAAATTAAATCCCTTTGCTCCCAACCAAAGCATTTGCAAGGAGAAAAAAA